AGAAGGCTCAACCCACAGATTCCTGCCCGCCCCCGCCTCCCCAGGCCCCCGGCCCTGCCATCCTTAGCCTCCGGCGCCCGCGCTGGGGTCACGGTGGCCGTGCGCAGGGGGAGGTGGCTAAGGATGGCAGGGTCGGGAGGCCTGGGGAGGCGGGGGCGGGCAGGAATCTGTGGGTTGAGCCTTCTGCCCGCAAGCTAGTGATTAACAGTAGTGATCGTCACCATCGTAATCCTGTAACCGCCGATGTTCAGGTGAGCACTGATGTGGGAGGCAGTCTTCCGGGGAAGCTTTACAAGCATTATCTCCCTAACGTTCACAGTAACTCCAAAGTTGGTTCTATTCTTAACATACTTCATACCTGAGGGAGCAGAAGCTTGCGGTTCAAGGGAGTTGAGAGCCAGTGAGTGAGTGGCCGAGCTGGGATTCAAATTCCACTGGGTGTGATTTCCAGGGCTGGACTCCCAGCGACTCTGCAGCGTGCCTTGCTCTCGGCCTCACCTGTGGTCCCGGTGAAGACTTATGCCAGGAAACAGAAATTCAGCATTTTCTCTCAAGTGCCACCCCGTGACACCTTTCTCCCAGGGAATCTCTTTTCTGGATGAGCCTGAAAGGGCGGCCCCTGTTCTGATCCTGAAACACACCACAAATTCTCTCAAGGCTTTGCGCGTGCCTTTCTTTCCCTCTGCCTGGTCCAGCGCCAGAGCAGGCTTCCCACCTTGTGGGCCATCCTTCTGACTAGTCCCCCTCGTTCTGTATCACTGCCTGGTCATTTTCTTCATAGCATTTATCATTTATCGTTTCATAGTTTTGTTTGTTCTTTAAAATTCTCTCCTTCCATACTTTTGTTTGTTTTTTAAAAATTCTCTCCTTCCAACCAGTCTGTAAGCTCCATGAAGGCAAGTGACCATGTCTGTTTTGTTTTTCGGTTGGGTTTTTTGTGGGGTTTTGTTTTGTTTTTGTTTTTGTACTACTGTATCCCAAATGCCTAGCATAGTAAAACCAGAATTGAGGAATATGTTGTTTCTTGGGTACACTCATTTTTTTTTCTCTTACGCAGAACATTATTTATTGCCCGCCTACCGTGTGCATGGCAGGCACTTTGATGGGCATTTCCAGGACAACATAAGATCACAGAAGGCCTTGACCATCAGGCTAAGGAGTCTAAACTTTAGTCTGTAGGCAGTGAGGTGACCTGAAGTATCCCAAGGAGAGTGACAATGTTAGAGCTGTGCTTCAGGAAGATTCTTTTGGCAGTAGTGCTTAATTAAGAGGAAGGACAGAGTAGAGCCTAGAAGTCTAGTCCAGAGTCGCAGACTTTAATGTGCACAGAAATCACTGGGATCCTGTTAAAAATGCAGATTCTGACTCAGTAGGTCAGGGATGGAGCCAAAAATTTTGCATTTCGAACAAGTTCCTAGGTGACATTAATGCTACTGGTCCTCACCCCGCACTGAGTAACAAGGATGTCGAGGACAATTTAGACCTTTTGTAAAAATTTAAGTGATGGCCAGTGACAGTCTGTCTTAGGGGACCCCTAAAGGGGCCAGGGACAAATAGGTGGCTGACCATGTAGGTCTGCAAATATTTGTTGACAGAAAAGGGAAATAGGTTATGGAGGATATTTTGGGTAGGAATTGCATTTTGATAATGGTAGCCTAAATGTGAACGTGCATTTATTTTCCTCATGAAACCAGAAGTCCAGAGGTCAGTGGTTGCTGGCATTGAATTATTGGCTCAAGGACCGAATCTCTGAAAGTATTTTGGCCCTCCCCTTATTATCCATAAGCTGCTGACACTCCAGCCATTGCTTCTGCATTCTAGACAAAAACAAAGGAAAAGAAGGGAAGTGCAAAAGTGTTCCTGCCATTTAAGTAGGCCCGCTCTGAAGAGCTTCTTAGAAGTCCTCTGTTATAACAAACACATCATTGGCTACCACTAGCAGGAAGGGAGATTGGGAAATTGTTGTTGTTTTGTTTTTGAAAGCCAGACACATAGCCAAGAATGAGATCCTGCCTTGATGTGGACCTTAGCACTTGCTCTGCTTCTGCCCTGAGGAAGGCATGCCTTCTTAGACCCTCCCCCCCCCCCCCCCCCCCGCACAAAGTCACCAAATCTGGTTCCTTTCCGGTAATATTAATGGCAGCCTTTGTTGACTGAGTATTTGTTATGTGCCATGCACTATGATGAATACCTGACATGTGTTACTTCATTTAATCATTGTAAGGGCCATATGTAGTAGGTACTGTGAGAGTCTTCAGTTTGCAGATGAGGCAGACAGGTTAAGTAATCTGTTCAGGCTTTTCCCTACACGTACATATGAGGGCTGGGATTGGGAGGCAGAGTCTGACTCAGCCCAAACTCATAACTTCTATACATATTGTCTCTTTATCCTAACTGCAAAGAAGGTTATTGAGTTTCTGGAAAGAAAAACAAGGAAGAACTACTGATATTCACGTTCACAGAATTATAGCCCCTTCAGAGAGGGAAGAATTTTTCAAAACCATCTAATCTGACACTTTCATTTTATAAATAGAGTCTCATTAATGGCTGAATGTGAAGGAGAATCCAGGTCTTTTTTACTCCTAGGTCAGTACCCTTCCCACTTAGTTGGAATAATATTATTTGTCCTAATGAACTCATGACATTGGACAAGTCACTTCACCTCATGGAATCTCAAATGTTGCCTTTTACAAGATGGGACAGGGGACCGACTGATCTCTGCAGGTAGTCAGTGATGACGTTCAGTGAGTCTATGAGAAAAATGAAAGTTAAATGGTTATATAATCCCAAATGGGGAGCATTTATTCTTCCAAAAAGGACACAAAAGAAGGGACATTCATCTCTTATAATTTAGATTTCCGTGCGTTTTCTACTTCTCTCTGTGGTTCAATATGCTTCTCTTTGGGATTTGAGATTTGGTTTAGTCATTTGCCCAAGATCAAATAGCAGAAGCAGTGAAAGAAAATACATAAATCTTGGCTCTCACAGCGTTTATATGACTGCTGCTTTCATTCTCAACATTTGTTCAGTAGATTAATACTTAAGGAAAAACTATCAACATTTTATTGCCAGAACCAACTTATTTTCCTTTTATTGTTTCTAGGAAGCATCAGATGAGAATTTAAAATAGTTTCTAAGGCATGGACTTAAGTTATTGCATCTCAAAGCCAAACAGTTCTATGAGATTTTTTTCTATAAGCAAAATGTTCTGCTTATAACCAAATTCTCCCTTTTGCACATAGATAGAAAATTTGGGATTTCACTCCCAAATCAATTCTGTCACTTCTTTTGCTGTACACGTAGACAGTGTCAATGGTAATGGAAATCCAGACTGTTTGGAGGAACTGGTTGACCCATCTTGACAGATATAGTTAAAGCCATGGGTCCCATGGTCCTGGGAGCCAATTTAGCTTCTCTCTCTTGTCCAACCCTAGGCCAGTCACCTGCCCATGGGTGCATTGAGAAGTTAGAGAAGATTGGTTTGACTTAACCCCATCCTAACTCTTAGAAAACATGAGACAGGGTCTACATCCAATGAATGTTGAGTTATCAAAGGATAGCACTTACATTAGCCTCTTCATGGGAGGGATTCATAACTATAGGAATGAAAATGGACTGGGAGTTAGTGTACCTCAGTTCACAGCCAAGTCCGACACCTTACTAGTGTGCATCCTTAGCCAAGTAACTTACCTTCTTTAAACCTCTGAACCTCAAAGGCCGGTTGTGAAGAAGATTGTAAATGTGAACCATTACAAAGAGTGTAAGCACATGGTGTGCACACAATGATTACTACAGTTACCCTTTTTGCTGTTATCAGACTATAAGTGCCTTGGCTAACCATGTCTTGATTAACGTCTATATTTTCTGCCCCAACTTAGACTAACAGGATGCCCTATACATAGTGGGTTCTCAGTATTTGTGTGGCAGGTATGAAGGTCAGTCTATAAAATCAAGGGCACAAGAAACATAACTGCTTCCTAGAAACCTAATTTCTGACTCTGAGTTACCATTTTGCCTGGCTGGTGGGGAGAGAAAATGTAACCTTCTCAGTGCTTCTTGGATTTCATCATGGCCCCTGCTTCCTCAAGATGTGCCATAGTTCCAGGGTAATGCCCAGACTGCACAGCACTCAGTCATTAAGGAGAATGTGTGCATGTGTAGGTGGGGTAGTCCATCTGATGTTTGGTCAGTTGTTGCCATATTGCTCCCGTCCTTAGAAACTATTGTGTTTTTGTGATTCTTAGCCGCCTCATGCCAGACTTAGGGTTGAGAATCTGAGCTGAGATGCATATGATATAGATGTACCCACACATCCTCTCAGCAGTGTGTCTGGGAAACCAAGTGCAGATCCCCTGTCTCTCAGAAACCCCCTTTCCTCCCTTCTTCATTTCTGGAGACTCCCTATCCACTCTGGCAGAGGGAAAAACCAGTTCTTCCTTGTTTTTTCTGGGATTGGGTCAATTCCCCTAGGAATCTGTGCTACTAGAATTTAGGTGTTTGGGAAAATAAAAGCCAGGAGGCTACCTTCACATAAACCTGTCCTAGGCAAGGAAGCCTGCCTGCTATGTCCTTGAATGTTGGGAAGGAATAGGAAAAATAGGGGAAGAAAATTGTCAGTTCATATCTTAAAATATTGTTGTTGCTGCATGTATTTGTTGAATGAATATCTTTATGTGTATATACATGGTATATTGTAACATTGTAGTGAAAACTCTTTTAATGGTTGGTGTTCTGCACATGCGAAAGAATGAAGTTGAACCCCTGCTTCAAACCACATACAAAAATCAACTCAAAATGGATTATAGTCCTAGAAGCAAGAGCTGAAACTATAAAACAATTAGAAGAAAACATAGGGGTAAATATTCATGACTTTAGATTAGGCAATGATTTCTTTGATATACCAGCAAAGAGAGAAATAACAAAATGAAAAATAGATAAATTGGATTTTATTAAAAATTTTTAAAGATTGTACTTAAAGAATACCTTCAAGAAAGTGAAAAAGACAACCTGTAGAATTGGAGAAAATATTTTCAGGTTAATATCTGGTGAGGGACTTCTGTACAGGATAGATAAAGAACTCTAGTAACTCGGGTACCTGGGTGGCTCAGTTGTTAAGCATCTGCCTTCGGCTCAGGTCATGATCCCAGGGTCCTGGGATCGAGCCCCACATCGGGCGCCCCACTCCGCGGGAAGCCTGCTTCTCCCCCTCCCACTCTCCGTGCTTGTGTTCCCTCTCTCTCTGTGTCTCTCTCTGTCAAATAAAATCTTTAAAAAAAAAAAAAAAAGAACTCTAGTAACTCAACAAAAAAAGACAAATAACCCAATTTTAAAAAATGGGCCAAGGAGTTGAATGGGCATTTTCCCAGAAAGATACACAAATGGCCAATAAAGTCAAGGAAAAATGCTTAACATCTTTAGTCTTTAGGAAAATGCAAATCAAAACCATAATGAGATACCACTTCACACCAACTAGGATGGCTATTATCAAAAGGACAGACAATAACAAATGTTGGTGATGATATGGAGAAATTGGAACCCTCCTGCAATGCTGATGGGAATGTAACTTGATGTAGGCATTTTGGAAAATAGTTTGGCAGTTCCTCAAAAAGTTAAACATAGGGTTACCATATGACCCAGTTAGACTCCTAGACATATACTCAAGAGAAATGGAAGAATGTCCACAACTGCTTATAGAGGCATTTTTCAGAACAGCCAAGAGGAGGAAGCAATCCACATGTCCATCAGTGGATGAATGGATGAACAAAATATGGCAGATCCGTACAATGGAATATCCACGCATAGAAAGGAATGAAGTGCTGATACCTGCGGCAATACGGATGAACCTTGAAAACATTATGCTAAAAGAAAGAAACCAAACACAGAAGACTACATATTATACGATTCTGTGTTAACGAAATGCCAAATAGGCAAGTCCATGTAGACAGAAAGTAGATTGGTGGTTGCCAGGGGCTGAGGGTAGAAGAGATTGGAGGGTAACTGCTAATGGGGTACTGGGTTTGTTTTGGGGGATGCTGAAAATGTTCTAAACTCAGATAGTGGTGCTGGTTGCACAACTCCATGAATGTCCTAAGAAAATACAGAACTGTGAACAAATTCATAATAAAGTCAGGTCACCTCTGTGTCCTTTGGCAGTGTCCTTATTAAAAAGTGGATGGGGGAGTGCTTTGGTGGCTTTGTCAGTTACACGTCCAGCTCTTGATCTCAGCTCAAGTCTTGATCTCAGATTTGGGAGTTCAAGCCCCACATTGGGCTTCACACTGGGTGTGGAGCCTACTTGAATGAATGAATGAATGAATGGTGGATAGGGCCCTGGAAAGCAATGGGGACTTCTTGTTAGTGCTTTCTAAGTGAATGTAGGCCTTTAAGATGTGAATTCATATGTCCTTTCCTGGGGTTGGCCACAGAAATAAGTCATGCCTTGCCCTGTGGTCACGTGTTGCCTCTTTGGGCTCCTTCAGTGTTTGTGCTTTGATGCAGAAGTGAACTTGGAAGGAGAGGGTTAAATTCTTATTTAGTCGCTTTATATTTCGCTGTCTGTCCACTAGAAAATTATTCTTTTTTAGATCCACTAATGCTCTAAGGTGTTTTGCATACATTATGTAATTTACTCCTACAAAACCCTGTTCCCCCCATTTTACAGAAGAGAAACCCTGAGTCTCATGTTAATTAGAGCAATTAATCATGCAATCTGTGGTCACACAGCACAAAGTGGCGAAGCAAGTTTACAGTTGAGACTGGCCTGAAAGCCTGAATGCTTAGTAAATATATTACAGAGCTGTGTTGATGAATACATAATGAAGGAAAACCTATCAATATCATATAAGTATTAAATTGGGGGGTTGTACCACCTGAGACAGAGTTGGAAAAAACCATTATGCTGGAGGCAGTAATTTAATCACCTGAAAATGAACACTTCCGATATTGAAAAGAAACGAAAATCTACGCTAACATGTTATCCCGCTATCATTTAAACTCTCATTTTTTTGGATTTCTGTCATAGTTTTTTTCCTAAGAGTTACAGCCATGGCTCCAAGTGAAAAAAAAGCTGCCTTTTAGGTGACCCTTCTCTTTCCCACTGTTTAATAGCTGTTTAAACTCCCTCTAGTGGTTAAGACATGACGTGACCCTAAATTTTGCTCTTTAGAGGTTGAACGTGACTCCCTGGACAAGGGTACAACTGTGAATGCAGAAGATTGTAGGGTCAAACCTAATCCTTAACTGTCCTTCTGTGTATGGACTAAGGGTATGAATAGCATGTGTCAAAGCTCTCCTGCTATAATCCTCTGTCCTATTTACTCGAAAGTCCAATTGTGCATTGATTATTGTTACTCTCTAGAGAATTACAGAGACGGTACTTTGTGTTTTTTTTTTTAAGATTTTATTTATTTATTTGACAGAGAGACAGTGAGAGAGGGAACACAAGCAGGGGTAGTAGGAGAGGGAGAAGCAGGCTTCCCCCTGAGCAGGGAGCCCGAGGTGGGGCTCGATCCCAGGACCCTGGGATCATGACCTGAGCCGAAGGCAGACACTTAACGACTGAGCCACCCAGGCGCCCCAGAGATGGTACTTTGTAAGATAACAGATTTGGGGGGCACATCCTTATAAATGCTCTGAGCCGTGAAACTGAGACCCACAAGACACATCTCTAGAGATGTATCTGCTATTTCCTATCTTACCTGTTATGCAACGACTTTC